TATATATATATATATATATATATATGAGATATTATAAAGACATTATATTACAAGTATATTTAGAACTTCTTAAATTGTACATCTCTGTTTTTACCAATGTAATAATCTCCACAGACAGCTGTAATTCGAAAATGATTTATTCCAGTCCTTCCTAAGTAAGACAAAACATAGCTTCCAGGTTTCCTGTCGCTTTCACGAACCAAGTAACTACCCATTTTGCTCGCATCCCACAGTCTTTCCTCAGCTGTAAATCTATCTAATCGACCGTGATACCACCTGTAAAAGGTCACATGCTATTTTAATCTCAATTTTCTAATCGAGTATCAAGGCTTGTATGCCTTGCATTTACATCCAACCCTATCTCAAAGTATTATACATTTATGAAAAGTTAATAGAAATTATATTCAAGTCTCACTGATTCTCTGGCGGTGCTGTTAACAAAGTGGCATTTGCACCGTCGGGTTCTTCCGCATCTTGTATGTCATCCGGTATATTTTCGAGAAAGGGATCAAATTCATTTTCTGCGTTCAAGGATTCGTTTTGACCACCATCCTCGCTTCCTGTACTAGGAGATCCACCTTTGCTGCTATGCTCCATCTAAAAGAGCAATGAAATGAAACTAATTGGACTTTTTATAATAAACCATTATCTAAGCCTTAAAAAATTGATCAATCACAGTTGATTATTTTTATCAATTATAATTGATCAATCCCTTATGGCTCAAGACTTAATGGCTATTGTAGAAAGCCTACTGTTTACTTAACGTTTAATTTTTTTTTTCACAATACAGAAAATAACACAATCATACTTGTGATATTAATTTTTTTTTAATAATTTTTCTGTTTTACTCAATATAATTCCTTTTGTTCAATAAATTAATAATTGCTTAGGTCAGGACTGAATAGCCTTACTGATTAATTCAATATTAATATTAATTAATTAATTCGAAGAAATTCTCTTTATTTTTAAGTATGTTTAAGAACAACCATATCCTTAACTTTTTCCTCTTTATCTTCTGTTTTAAACAGTCCTAGATGAAATAATCCAGCAGGACTTTTAAAATTTCAGAAATAGTTTCTTTTAATTGCAATTTCAAAACAAAATAGATATCAATACAGACATACAATACATTTCATACAATAGATTTCATACAATACATTTTAGACTCCAACATGCATTACCACATGCATCACAAACGACTCTAGAGTTCACGCAGGATAAATTAAAATTTATTTTCAAAAAAGAATGGGGATTCCAGATAGTCTCTCGATCAGTGTAATCGAAAGAAGGCATGTTTAAATAAAAAATGATATATAAATTACCTCGATAGCGTGAAGAATAAAAAAATTAAAATAAAAATTAAAAGTAATCATCATCGCGTTTTATCATTCTCAGTAGCTATCAAAGATCTGATTCATTCCGACTTTCGACATCGTTATCGAGCAGTATCGCTGTGAACATGTGTCATGTCCCAATATCATATTGGGAAAATGTTAGGAAAATTCAGAGTGAAAGTGTAGCGTACATAAAGCTATTTTGCATTCAAGCGCGTCGTGCGTCCCTAATCGAGGAGTCAGGCGATAACACTGGAGACGGGAGAGATAAAGCCCGGTGTGCCCCTCGCGGAAATACAGCCGCGCAAGAACGTAAGGGGGAGCCGAGATATTAAATGAGAAGAGTAAGGGAATCGCGCCGCGCCGCGCCTTCCGCCGTTCGTGACCTCCGTTCGTCGGAAAAAGGACAATGTCGAGATACAAGTAACGGAGCAGCTATTCCGCTCGTGTTGCACGAGTACACACGCATACGTACCTTGGCATTGTTGGATACGCTGGGTCCACCGCGCACGAACTCCGCCATCCCGTCGGTACGCGCGCACCACTCTCCCGTACACGCGACCAACGCGACTACGAAGCACCCGAACCGATCAGTCGAACGGCATGCGTCGTCCCCGCCGCGATATTCCTTCGCGTCGCGATCGTATTTACAAATACAATTACGAAGGCAGACTCGTATCAGTATAAAATGTATTGACGTTTCCCGGCAGCCATTTTACTATCCGCACGCGCCGACCGTGACGCATGCGCGAGCATGACGAGTCGTCCCGATGGCGGAAAGTGAAACGATAATGGCGCGATAGTAGTTCTTTAATGAACTTTCAACAATATCCGGGAATATCGACAAGATCGAGAGTGATGTTATCGGCGGTTCGAAGTTGCGGAAAAATTCAAGGATCAAAATAGTACATATACTTGCGAATAAAAAATTGTAGAGAACAGATCCGCTCCTCTGGAGAGAAAAGGAAGAAAGATAAACCGGTGCAAAAGTTCAGCAAAAAAGTACAGGCCTAGGCTGCGTTCCGTTTCACGCATGATGCGCATGATGCATCATTTATCCTTGTTTAACCTAACATTCGGTGAATAACAAGAATAATGCAGCATGCGCATGCGTGAAACGGAACGCAGAACGCAGGCCTATATTTTATAGCGATTTTTATTGGAATTTGAACAGTACATAATAGTACTTAGTGCGCATATTGAATGTGTATCAATAGATATCCACTGAGTCATATTTTATTGTGCTTAACTACAAATTAAGATTTTAACCTTTAACGTATTAATATGGGTAACTAGTGATCGAGCGATTCCTGTTTTATTTTCCAAAATAAAGAGTCAATATTTATTCTAGAAAGTTGAAAGTATGTTGGTGAATTTTTAGAGATTTTTTTAATTATTTTGAAGAGATGAGAAAAAACGAAGAGATTCAAGTGACCCTTGATAGTATGGATGAGGCACCAAATTGTACATAGTACTATAAGGATTAATATGCACTAGGTCCAACTAAATTTGTATTAGATATTATAATAAAATTATATAAAAATCTGCATTAGTAACTAAATATAACAAATTGAAAGGAAGAAATTTAAACAAAATTCTATATTATTTAATAAATATTAATTAATCTTATGTTATTTTTTAGAATTTATATGTACCAGAAATTTATGGATAAAAAAAATATTCTAGCTAATATTCTGTGTTCTAAAAATATGCATATAATGATATAGAAGTGCATAATATACATAAATTAAACGTTCATGCTAGATTAAAATTGTATTTGCTTATTCATTAGCTGTTATCTAATAATTAATAAATAATTAATTAATTATTTAGCTGAAAAACGAATAAGAAATAGCAATATATGTAAATTTTAACATAGACAGACTCATAATTATGTAAGTTCTTTTTTACATCATGGCTAAATCAGTGATAAGCTCCCATCAGACCAATAAATATATAGAATTAATCTAAAATAAATCTTTATCTGTTTTTAATCAAAGTCAAATTATGTAACACTTGTAATATTTTTCTTTCTTTCTAAATAGATAACCTCTACAATTCTAAATAGATAACCTCTACAATATAAAAAAATAGATAAACTAGATAAATTGGAAATAAGAACAGGTTGACCATAGAAGAGATAATAAATCAGAGACGATAGTTGTGGCTTAAGTAATTGTTATAAGGAATTTTTAATGCAATCGTATTTACATAAGAGTATTTAAATCGAATTTATTTCTTTTCTGCACATTCGACTTTAGCTAGTGGCTTGAGTGCGTCGCTAGCAGCATTTATTTACCTTGACATCATTTCATAAATTAATTCAAATTACTCTACGTGTGCAAGAGGTAACTTTTCCATCATTTTTCTATGTATTTTTCATTTAGACTAGTGATGCTCACCGCGAATTTTTTACATCCTGCCAATTCATGGTTAAAAATATAACATATTTTCTACTTTATACAAACAAAATAAACATTGTATAATCTGAAAGAATTTATCTATTTCTAAAAATAATGACAATAATCCCTAAAAAAGGTTGAGCATCAATGATTTTTAAAATTAAGAAATATAATTTTGTTAAACATGAAGCTATAAAAAATTCACAATAAAATTTACGTTTACAATGTTAATTACAATAATAGAGCTCAAATCTTTAAAAACTACTCCGCAAGTATAAATTTTTTTTAAATGTATTGTTTCAGTAAAGAAGATTTTTATACATTATTCAACAAGACATACATTGTAAGAGTAAGCAGCAGAAATGGCAGAAGTAGAACAGTTTACAGATATAAAACTCTCCGTACCTTGGGGTCATGTTGCTGCCAGAACTTATGGCTCTCCCACAGGAAAGCCAGTCTTAGCAGTACATGGTCGTCTAGATAATGCAGGAACATTTACTAGATTGATGAAATATTTACCAAAAGAATTATTTTATTATGTGTGCATAGATTTACCTGGCCATGGATGGTCATCACATTTTCCATCTTGGATGATATTAGACGTTATGGATTATGCACATGCATTATATTTTATCTTGGAAGTGCTTCAATGGAAAACATTTATTTATCTAGGACACAGTTTGGGAGCACAAATAGGTACAATCTTCAGTGTTCTTCACCCAAACAGAATCGAGAAGCTAATTTCTTTTGATGGGATTCTTCTGAATCCTACAAATAACAAACTTACAACTTATTTTAAGAATGCATCTGCATTCTCAGTAAAAGCTTATCATGAAGAAAAATCGTTGTCTTTTACTAGAGAAGAAATATTACATGCTCTTAAGACTTTTAGAATTGGAGTTTTGAATTCTGAAGCTGCTGATGCGTTGTTTGAGCGTGCAGTTACAGAAGTAAATGGAAAGTATATCTATAACAGAGATATACGATTAAAAAATCACCCTTTTTCATTTATGCGTATAAAAGAATGTCAGAAGTTTAACAACGTGTTTTCAGTTCCAATATATTTCTTTATTCCATCTCACGGTATTATATCTCCATATAAAGAATTTATTATGCAAGTATCGGAATTAATAAGGGTTAAAACCATGATAGAAGTAATTTATGTAGATGGAAATCATGACGTTCATAATAATAACCCTGAAAAAGTTGCACCATTTGTGTGTAAAATATTAAATGACTATTCTAGCAAACTGTAAATAATTGTGTGCATGCATGAACGCATACACACACATATTTATTCTTCAGTAGAAAAAGAAATTGTTAATAAACATAAACATAAACTATATTATGAATATAATTTATAATATATATCTCTATATATGAATATACGAGGGCAAATCAATAAGTACCCGTGTTTGAAAATGGATATTGCTGATGCAAGTTGACATCATCGTACACTACCATCTTTCAAACGGCGCCATACAAAATTTCAAAGTGATTTATACGATAGTTTTGACTTGACAGCAATTTGCAGTGAGCGTATTTGGTGTTTTTCGATACAATGAAAAAAAAGCAATATCCATCCGTGATTTGCTTTTTATTTTTGGATTTTATTTTGGAAAAATGTGCGAAGAAATAAAAACGAAATTGGATGCCATGTATGGGATCCTTCACCATCTATGACAACCGTCAGATATTGATTCAACGAATTCAAACGTGGTCGTTTATCTGTTTTTGATGAGGAGCATCCAGGCTATCCGACAAACGTGGTTACTGAGAAAATCATTGAAAAGATCCACATGATTCTCGCTGACAGCCGAACGAAAGTGCGTGAAGTGACAGAGGCCGTAGACGTGTCGTACGAAACGGCATTCAATATATTTTGCATAACTTGGGAATGAAAAAGCTATCGACCCGATAAGTGTCGCGATTGCTTACGATGGACGACAAGCGGATGTGGCTATCAATTTCGAAGCAGTGTTTGGAGCTGTTTAAACGCAATCTGCAGGAGTTTTTGCGTCGAGTCGTAACCATTGATGAAACATGAATTCATCACTACCGGAGACCAAGGAACAGTCAAAACAGTGGACTTCATCCGGCGAACGTGCTCCGAAGAAGATCAAGACGGTCCCATCGATCGGAAAGGTGATAACCACTGTTTTTTGGAATGCGCAAGGCGTAATCTTCATCGACTATTTGGAGAAGAGAAAAACTATTACAGAAGTACTATGCTAATTTATTGGGCCGATTCGATGTTGAATTGAAGAAAATACGACCCCATTTGGCGAAAAAAAAGTGTTGTTCCACCACGAAGATGCACCAGCTCTCTTCCGCAGTCGTCACAGCCAAATTAGTCGAATTATGCCGCGAATTGCTGCCGCATCCACCGTACTCTTCGGATTTGGCCCCTTGCAACTTCTTCCTGTTTTCAAATTTGAAAAAGTAGCTCAATGGAAAGAGATTTACGTCGAAATTGAGTTGAATCTTGTACCAACATATTAAGGCATTTGGTACAATTTTTCTTTATTTATTTCTCCAAAATTCACGATTGTTTCAGTAGTCTCTGTTTCATGTATTTCTATCAACGTTCGTGCCTCAGACATAATTTCACATAAATATAAACTTGAATTAAAATCAAATATTTGCTTGATCTATAGCAAAATAAACATGGAAATAAAAATCAACGTCTACACTCTAGAATTGAATTATACACGGACTTACCTTATATTTATATTAATGTATTCAGCGATTATATAATTTGTACTTTTATTTACTTTATTGGCTATATTATGAGGTTATCGCTGAAGCAGAGGCTTATTTTGTAGAGTTCAACAAATCGTATTTTTTGGAGGAGTTAAAAAATGGCAGGGGCGTTGGGAAAAGTGGATTCCTAAAAGAGGATTACGCTGGAAAATAAAAAAAAATTTTGTGAAAAACTTGCTCTTCATTACTAACATGGATACTTATTGATTTGCTCTCGTATAAATATCTATATTTCTTGAATATACTTTACATTTCACAATGTATATTAATATGTACTTGAATGTTTATTTTTTACATTTATAACGTGTGTATATATATATATATATATATAAGGATACAAGGTATATCAGGTTATGAAGTTATCATATAAAAAATAGTTACATGTATTATAGTAAGAAAACTATTGTATTATAAAAATTGTATTTTCCATAAGAAATTGTACAAAATTGTAAAATAGTTTATTCTTGTAAGTTTTTATAAATTTACTATTGTAATTTTCACTAAACCTTTCATTTGATGGACTTTAATTTTTACTTCCTTATCTCTCAAAATAATGTCTCTTAGTTCGTTTTCGAAAACGATTGCAGTATGATTCATGAAAGAATCCTTTTTTGTATCATGTACATGATGTGGACTGAGTTGAATCTTGTACCAACATATTAAGGCATTTGGTAAAATTTTTCCTTTATTTATTTCTCCAAAATTCACGATTGTTTCAGTAGTCTCTGTTTCATGTATTTCTATCAACGTTCGTGCCTCAGACATAATTTCACATGAATATAAACTTGAATTCAAATCAAATATTTGGTTGATCTATAGCAATAAACATGGAAATAAAAATCAACGTCTATAACCTAGAATTGATTTATACATACGGATTTACCTTATATTTATTAATGTATTCAGCGATTATGTAATTTGTACTTTTATTTACTTTATTGGCTATATTATCCCGCACATGTAGATCATCTTCACTGTCTGAACTCTGAAAAGAAAAATATATTCGTTTATTTTACTATTATTTTCGACAAATAAGTTCGGCAAAATTTTATTTTTTATCATTCTTTTTCATAAAATGTCTTTTATTTAAATATAAATTACATGATTAAATACTGTGTATCGTTATACCGTATCAGTAGAAGTGTCAAATGAAGACGATCTTTGGAGATTTACATTTTGTACATAAACCATATTTGGTAAATCTTCTGAGTATACTAACTGTCCCATAAGAAAAATCTTCTCTGGCAATAATACACCATTTGTTTTAAGCAAGTTCCTAAAGTAATGATAACAAATTTTAATATTTTATAATTATATAAAACATATGTAAATATTATATACAATATGTAAATATTATATACAATATAATATAATACCTGGAAATTTGATAACAACTACCTTGGTCATCTCTTAATTCACCTTTAATATCAAAATTATAAACAAATATGGAATCTAGAGAATATGGAATTTCCTCATAACTTGATATCATATGTACTTTCTCTTGCACCTCGCTATCACGAGCTACTTGTTCAATTAGAACACGTAGCATTGGATTGTCAGTTTTGTAATATAAAATTTCACTATCTTTACATTCCTTTAAAAGAGTCAACCCGTAGATTGGAAAAGGCGAAGTATCCAAAATATATTTCATTTTTCTATTCTTTTGAGATCTACCAATTTCTGTGAGCAATTTGACATAATTGAAGTCGTTTAGGAAGGCAATGACTTCTTTTGGCAAATGATACAAAGTTGTACAATTTTCACTATAACGTTCATTATTCATGCTATAAGAACATTTCAGTTTGCTCTTCAAAGTTTCCGCTTTTATCGTCAATACATCACCTTCATGACATATAGTTGGCACCGTCGGGAAAACAGCAAATTGCCAACAAGATTTCCCATCCGAAGAATCCAGTGTGATTTCCTCGTCAAGATGTAACTTGAACCAAGTGATTAAACCATCTATGATACCATCGTATCTACATTTTGTTTGTAGCATCTGCTTTATTCCATCTTTGCAGAATTCGTACAATTCTAGTAGACTATTAAAATTCACATTAAAAAGCAACTGTGGCTCTGTAATGTAATTCATTTGAACTTTCTCCAGGTTTTCTGTATCGTAATATTCGTCGTCTGACAGTATAGACACATTATTAAAGTTTAAAGGACAGTTCTCTTTTATCTTGTCAAAAACCACTGACGATCTATATCTAATGTATTCACATTCAATAACTGCTGTGTAAACCGTCGCGCCCATAGGTATTACCATACCATTTAAATCTAAAATATTCATGTGTACGTTAATCATAGATGGTATTACAAGCTCTCCAAATAAGCCAGCATCAAACGTTTCAGTCACTATTAATTTTACTCTAGAATTACAGGTAATGGTTTTAATATTACTCAATGCATAATATTGTAACAAATTAATTAATGCAAATAATTTTTAAAAGGTATATAAGTATATACTGTATTATACACATGCATATACATACACAAACCTTTCTGAAATATCCATAGGTACTTTAAGATCAAACGACAGTTTCGATATTAATTTTATGTCAGCTGCATTGTTAGAGTCAAATACTTCTTTCGCAATCAGTGTCATTGCTTCAGAGCATTCACATGCATAAACTTTTTTGGCTCCAGCATCTTTTGCGTATAGACTCAAAAGACCTGTACCCGTCCCTACATCCAATACTGTATCATAGCCCTGACTGACTCTCTTACGTATGGCTCGCTCAAAAGCATTGTTTCTCTGCTTGTCATTGAGCATTGTGAAATGCCACCTATCCACTGCCATACTATATGCATTTTGCAAGTTTCGCTCTGCCGGTAGAAAGTTAACATCAACTTTCAAAGCTCTTTTTAAGTACTCTATTGCCCTTATGGGATGGTTATTCCTTTAACAAGTATATGCAGCATTCTATGAGTATTTTTTTTAGATCAGGAATAATAATGAAAAGAATTTATTGTAAAGGTAATTGAAAAAATTAGTATATGCATTATATAGTGTAGAGATTACCTCAACAAGTGTGCTGCAAAATTATTTAGCATACGAGGATTGTTTGGATAAATATTCAAGGAAAATTTGTAGGAGCTTACAATATCTGAAAATTTGTTGTCATTTGCTAACTGCATTCCCCATTCACCTGAAAAATAAATATTATATATTGTTATATAAAAATAAATGTTTCTCTGATATTTAGGTATAAATACAGATTATACAAAATGTCTTACACAGAACATCTGTAAACGTTTCTTCAATTTCTGATCTCCTTGCAGACAGTTTTGCAAAGATAATGTAATATGCAAAAGCTTTCCCAACATTTCCAATCCTGTCATATTCTCTGGCTTTTTGCAGTGACTCCTCCAATATACTATTTACTTCCGCTTGCATTTTTGCATCGATTAAATTTATTTTTACCTCATTCGCCTCGGTTTTATAATGATGTCGACTTTGAAAAATTAGAAATTGATATTATCACAAGACA